ACTCTTAAACCATCATTTTCTTCTCACGACTCTCTGAAAATCTATTACATATTAAAAAATAAATAAAACGATTTGTTAACCTCAATATAATTAAATTCTACATAGTCGAGTACTATGTAAAAACATGTGACTTTGAATATGTAATTAAAAGTGGCTCTCAGCTTAATTGCTCCAATTTTACACAAGCATCAAGCAAACTTAACTTAATTCTAATGGCACTTTTTAAGAAAATTATTAAATTAATATAAGAAATTTGATTCGTCCAAAGAAAAAGATGAGTGTTGGGATGCTTGGTTGGAAACGAGAGTGTCCCAACCGAATAAAACTTTTTTCCTCTCGGGTCTGTTTCTTCTTTTACTTTGCATGGAACTGTGTATGTTCGTAGTCCATACCGTATATTCATATATATACACATTGATAAAGGATAAGACTAAAATTGAAGATAATGCTCATGGCTAACCAATTTAAGGGTGTGTTTGATTGTGAGTATGAAAATAAATAAATTCTAGGTAATTGAATTGTCTAAAACTTATTTGTATAAAAATTATTAATTAAATGTGTTTGATTGATTTAATTTTCAACTTAGAAAATATTATACTTGTCCATTTTTTTATTGGTGGGCAGATGAAAGAGAATGGATGGATAAGAGAGAGTGAATTCCTTTAAAAATAAAATTTCACTCCCCCTAAAGAAGTTATTTTCCTTGATTTTAAGAAAAATATGATCATGTGACTAAAAATAGGAAAATATTTTCCATGGAAAAAAATGTCAATCAAACATCACAAAAAGTAAGAATTTTGGTAGAAAAAATATATTTTCTATGGAAAATATTAACAATCAAATGCACCCTAATTGAAAATAATGCTCATAGCCAATCAACAAAGCTTGAGATTTTTTGCTGTGTAAATATTTTTTCCTAAAAAATAAGTCGTATATTTCAATTTCTACTTTTTTTGGGCATATGCATCAATTTTCCTGACTTCACGTTCACCAGCGGAATGCTAGATGACCCATGATAATGGCTCGTCTTGACGTCAAACACTCCTAAGCACATGGTTTCATCCACAGAAGCCCAATAGAAAGTAGAAACGAGCAAATTCAAGCCCAAACCGTATTGCATTCATGCATGACTATCTAAACACTGCGTCTAGGCCCAAGTAAATTGATATTATTTTGGGCCTACTTTGACCTATTTCTGAACTTGGGCTCTATAATTTAGCATTGAGAAAAGGGAAATTATAAAAATTCAAGTGTTTAAAGATAACTTTTTAAAAATCAAGTCCATAGTTTGTATATTCAAAAATCAGGTATCTATTGAATATTTAAATAATATTATAATACTAATAATTCACACCAACCCTAAACTTAA